ACTCACTGTGTGTAAAATAATGTTATCACCAATAAGCAGAATTTTGCCACTAATTTTAAGCAAGAAAAATAGTCTAAAAATCCTTGTTTATAATACAAAAATGGTGAATAATACCAAAAGACGTTCAAAAACTTTCTATTGCTATGAATTTCCTAGCCCCAAAACAGATTAAAAAACATTGAAAATAAGGATTAAAATGTACTTTGATTTAATTTTGCTTTGATTTTTAATTTAAAATTGCTCATTTGCTCTCCATCCCTGTCACCAAGGGTTCATAATTGAAGGCTTTTGTGCAAAAAGGGCAAACATAGCTTTTTGGGCCGATTATCTTTTTTGCAGGATCGAGCTAATTTTTGGCAGACTTGTTTGTTTTGACATGAAAAGCATCGTTGCATAATTGTTTTTGTTGATTTGCGCTTCTTTGTTGAGAAAAAACATATGCAAAAAAACTCAGTTTTCCAAGCGGCATCTTTTGGAGCAGATGCTTTAATGTCTTAATGTCTTTTAATGCTTTAATGTCTTTAATGTCTTTAATGTCTTTCCACGTACAGGCTAACCTTCAACATTTTGGTTATTTCTCAATGAGAGGTTTACATATTCTTGTGTAACAGCCTCACGAAAAAGCCCGTTTAGTTTACTACAGTATTACACTCAAAAGTTTGTTCCCTCTTGCACACGTCTTCCGCTATCTTTGTTTTTATCTCTTACTCAGTCGATCACAATGTCATGTTTGCGTCATGTGATAGCTTCGTCCCCAGTCTAAGCTGACAGGAGTATCTCACTTTGGAGACAATTTGATTGGCTCAAGAGAGGATCAAGATTCACAGAGGATGTTTGAAGAAGAAAAAGCCCAAGTTACCGCTACACAAAACACACTGGTTTTGAGTACAGTTCACGCTCTGGCAAGACGTCAAAACCATCTTACCTGAAGCAAGTGTTTGCAAGATTTGCTTGAAGTAAATTCTTTTCACAGGTATTGGTGTTTCATAACGACGCTGAACAGAAAGACCAGTCAGAACTTGTTTCTAGTGGCTGAGAGCTAAGTAAAACTTCTCCTCTAGTTGAATTCTTGAACGTGATGGAATACTATCAAGCAAGAAAGACTGTGCTTGACCACATTTCAAAAACCTGAGGAGAGAGTTCAAAATACTACATGTGGCGGAGTATTTTTGATGAACTTCAAGGCAGCTCTTGAACAATCAGTTTCCACAGGTTAGGTTACAAGAAAGTGAAAGGTCTCTGGTTTTAAGGAATGCAGTACAAGGTAACTTAGACTATCGTCTATTGGGGAACCTCTTGTTAAACGGAAGGGCTATGTAAGCAGTTCCGTAGACTAGTCAGTATGAGGCAAACCAAGCGGCTTTTGCCTCAGTCATTTTTTTTTCTCGTTTTTGTTGTTTCTCTGTTGAAAGGGGAAATTAAAACACTGGTAAATGCCAAGGGAAAGAATTTAACCATGGACTTTGCCTCAGTCATAATTTTTCTCTGGCTACGGTCCTGGTGAGGCAAACCCAAGGAACGCACAGTAAAGACAAGGGAGCACAGTAAAAAACGCTAAATGGAATACCTAAAGGAAAGGAAGACGAACTGTATAAATGGAACGCAAAATGAAACACAGAAGAGAAGGGCTAAAGAGCAGAGCTTAAGAGGCAAATTTTAAGGGAAATATATCATGTATTTAAGATACTGACAAAGAAACTAATAGCACCTTTTCGTGTCACAGTTTTTAATCGTATACTCATTTCATTTTTGTAAAATATATTTCTTAACTTTGTTCCTATCTGGTATAAAATGGCAATACTATTTTTCGCTATATTACAGCCACTTCAATCTAACCATCAACTTAAAAATTACTTAGTTGCAACAGAATAGCACAAAACAAACAAGAAATGACTTGTTTCTAAAGCACAGTGTGGTTCCAGTCAAACGTCACTAGATTTGCTCTGTTCTAGATTTACTACCTCTTCTGTTTTCCCGCACTTACTATCAATGACTGATAACACGTTTTCCCGCATATTATCATCAGTGACTGATAACACGTTTTCCCGTGCTTTAACATCAGTGACTGACAACATATTTTCCCACGCTTACCATCAGTGACTGATAACATGTTTTCCCGCACTTACCATCAGTGACTGATAACACGTTTTCCCACGCTTGCAGTCGATTACACCTTGTTCCAGCACTTGCTATCAGTTCAATGTTTTCCCGTGCTTGTAACTTTTATTAACTTTGTCTTTAACAATAAAACCACTTAAATTTAAAATACACACTGATATCGATTAATACAACTGAGGAGCGTTTCAACGAGAGGTATTGAAAGTAAACAACATTACTTGACCGAGATTGTATCCTTCATCAGTGAACGAGACTGATAAAATTTATGCTTTCAGTAGGTGCCACAGTGTCTGCAGTAATATTTGAGCAGTTTCCTGGGTTTTTTGTTCAATTTGACAAGTTTTAATGCCACTTACTCGGGAGAGTTTCGGCTGCGGGTATG